ATATATGAACACTTGTTGCAATTATGAACACAAATTGACATATATGAACACTTGTTGCAATTATGAACACAAATTGAACATACATGTAAACACTTGTGGCAATTATGAACACAAATTGAACATATATGTGAACACTTGTGACAATTACGAATACTAACTAAACATATATGAACACTTGCGGCAATTATGAACACAACTGAACATATACGATTTCTACTGTTTGTAACTGATGTCATTGAATGCACATTATCTTTTACATAAATACCCTTCAGCAATTATGTTCACATGTGTTTGTGAGATTACACATTTAATAAATTAATTTTATAATATGATTAATCTCAACTCTTTATTTTTAAAAATCAATGATCATGATTAGTTCATAAAGTTATCACAATAATTAAGGTTAACAAATGAACTTGCCCCCACACATATATATATATATATATATATATATACATATATATATATATTATGTGAGACCAAGTTGTTTTCGTGAGACCCATGATACCACTTTTTTACACTTGAAACTTCACACGAAAACACTGTGAAGGTAATCTTCACAGTTGTTTTTGTTGTAAAGGTTCGGATTTGTTTACCTTCACAACGTTTTTCTGTGAAATTTCAAGTGTAAACATATAGTCTCACGGGTCTCACGAAAACAGATTGGTCTCACGGGTCTCATGAAAAGAAGTTGGTCTCACGTCAACCCAACCCTATATATACACACACACACATAAATACATTAAGTTAAATATTATTCCGTAGTATTTTTTTTATTTTATTACACGGCTTTTTTCCGAGATGACTAATAGACCTTACATATTTAATGTTATTATATATGTTGTATATTAATGTATCAGTTAATTTATTTTCTATATTTGTCAAGTAAAATAGTTCATTGTGATTAAATGAGAAACAATATAAGGTTGGAAAAATAAATACTTTTATTGTTTTTAAAACATTACATTATGATTATATTTAGAGTAATATTAAAACGTTTACCAATTTACCCCCGTAATGTTGTCTTACAGACACAATGAATGGCTACTAGAAAGAATTACCAAAGAGCCTTTGGTTTAACGGTACCTAATGACCCAACCTTCTTAAAAGCGAAGAGTTCAAGACTTATTAGATGTGAAAAATGTGTGAATTTAATTTGGAGTATATAAATATTATGTACTTTAAAAGTAAAATATGAAATAATCACCAATTGTGACATATCAATGTGTTAGATTAAATGTTGGATGTTAATTCACTTATACAGTATTGGGGATAACTTTAACCATAATTTAAACAAGTCCAATACTTATTATAGATTAACTAGAAGGGTACTTGTGTAATGCAGCGAGATATATCTCGATTTTAATGTTTCGTTTTATTCCATCTCTGTAGATGCTATAATACGGTTTTTATGTGGTTTTGAGAAAAGAGATAATGTTTTTATTTTTAAATAAAATATAAATTTGAAGATATCATAAAAATTCGAAAATAAATATATTAATATTAGTATCAAAAATTAACTATTTAAAAGTTCTTGTTCTTTATGTAATTTCTTTAATTCAATTTTTTTATAATACTTTAATTTAGATTTTATAGCAAATTAATTTATTTTTTATTTAATAATATAATTTTTTATAAGGATAACAATTAAGTATTCTGTTAAAACTAAATGATCTATATTTTAGATTTTTTATATTTGAAATGTCTATCTTGTATTTGACTCTGTTTATCTGCAGTTAGTTACACGAATTCAAACATGAATCTTTAATAAGTTGTACTTACGTACAGTTTATTTGTAATTTTGAATTTTAAGTAATATGCATCAATAAACAATACTTTCATGTATAAAAAATGGTTTTTAAGAATTTTTGTCAAATGCTTTATAATATAGTATAGATATCTATATGTTGGATTTGAAGTCCGACACAAAAATATGTAGAAGTGTGATTTGGTTAAAGAGCAATTACACCGAACTACAAGTAACATGGCAATGAGTATCGTACTTTGTTTTATTTTCTTCTCTTTGACAAATTTTCTCCAACTTCATACAATCACAAAAGTTTGAGATACTAATAGGCTGTTTACTAAACACTTACTTGATAAGTATTTATGAGAAAAATTTCCTTATTGGATGAACATGGAAAGAGTCATGAATCTTACTGGTTAAGAGCAATGAGAAGGATGGAGAGTTTTACTCGGTAAGTGAGGTTGACGACTCTTACCCAGGTAAGCGCTTACCTGATAAATTGTTGCATTTGAGTATATATATTTTTTATGTATTAATTCTTTTATAAAAGAATATATAGTTTGATTAAATCAAAAAGACTAAAATGCTAAAAAAAGTACCAAAAAAGATATTTAATAAACCAAAAACAAAAAAAAATTCAAATAGACTAAAATACCCTTAAGTTAAATGGAAGATTTTTAATAGATTTGTTTCGGGACGAAAATAGAAAATAAATTTGATAATGGTGCCGGAATCAGCAACAAGTTACAAACTATAAGGATGAAAATCGCAATATTTTAGAAACCACAGGGACTAAAATCATAGTTTACTCAAATATTTATTATTTAATTACGTAAAGGATGTCGCGGCAGAAGTTGAAACCTAAACCCCTTAAACCCTTTGCAGTCTCTTCTTGGCTAATTCCCACTTGATTCGACTCTCCGACGAGCTCCTCCTCTTGTGTTGTCGTCGTCGTTTGCCCCCTGCTCTGCTCACCGCCGGCCTGCTTTGACCCTGCACTCTCGTGTTGTGCTGTTGCTGCTCTGCTCACGGCTTCATCTCTCAAACTCGGTAAGTCGATATTATAGGGTTAGTCTATTACTATTAGGGTTCAGTTTCAGTAAAATAGCAAAATGGGTAATTGAAAGTGTTGAAATCTGCTTCTTAGCTTCTGTTATGGTTGGATATTTGAGTCGGATATTTCAAATATTTAACTTCTGTAATGTTGAAATGCTTTTGCTTTCTTATATGACTTAAAGCTTTTGATTTGTTTGAAAGTGTGAAATTGTTCTACTGTCAGATCTGGGTTAACATTTTTTTCATTCTTTTTACACCAAACTCATGGTAATATTTTTACCAACATTTTGACACAAGTAACACAAACTTTTGGTCAAGAAAGGAGTTCTATTTTCTTGTTTAAAGTTTTAATTTTAAACTAAACCGAACGAAACTTTAAACTTCAAAATCGAACCATAAAACACGAAATCTGAAACATAAGGCTACTGGGGTTCCATATAGGAATAAAAACGAAGCTAATCATATAAAGAAATAAATTTTGGTTTAGTATTTTACTTCTAATCGACGAAAAACGGGGATTTTTGACATCGACAAAAATCCATGTTGTTTTAAATCTAAATGAAGAGAACAAAGAAACCTACTTAAATCTGGTTTTGGTTTGGCTTATTAGTTGACCAACTGAATCAATCGGCTCTCTAAACTTCTCATTAAAAAGTCGTTTTCAAATTTCAGAGTTTGTCCTATTTACGAAATGAGTCCCTCATATTTGGACCACTTTACATCATACACTATCCCTGCACTATGATAAATGACCTACAACCCCTATTTATTTCTCGAAATTTTTGGGTTTTACAGTAAGCACTTACAGAGTAAACATTTGGGTAAACGGTTCCAAAATCTCTTTTTGTCGTTGTTTCCGCTTTGATGAACACCGTTCTCCCTTCCCATGTCAACTTCACATCCTCCTTGTACCAAGGATGATAAAGGACTTGACCTGTCATATCCCTATCTCAAATATGATGAATAAAACAAAAAAATTATACAAGATTTAAGGTTCGAGTTCTCGGTTTCAAAATCGAGATTGGATCGCAGTATAAAACCTAGATGGTTCCTCAAACGTGGCGAGGATTCCTTCCTCCACCAAA